TGAGCCTTGATTTGCGAATTGACTATCCTTTATACTTCCATAGCTGTCAGAGCCCCACTGAATTTATTTCCTATACTTTGCAAATGGGAATGTTAAATCTTACTCGTAAAAAAATGTTGAGGATTAATTGAATAGGGCTCAAAAGCCCCAGGAAATAGTGCATACATATGATGGCACTGTATTTTATATTTCCCTTCACTATCCAAACCAGAATAAAGAGTCTGAAAGTGTTCCAGAGATTAATCACTCTATAATCAATACCTAATTTAAAAAAGAATTATAGCAAAAGACAGGGGCTAGAAATATGCCATTTTTCCTTTGTATGTGAATTCTAGTTGACTCATGGCCTAAATGTCTAGGGCATTACCTACTCCCTCCCTTCATCCCCTCCATGAATCCTCCATGAGTTAGATTAATATTACTATAGGTTCATTCCTTGTTGTTTATGGTATTAAAACTATTTGATAAAGATCGAAACACTGACAGAGATGTAAGTGTTCAACGTGTTCTATATGCAAAAAGAGTAAACATCAAATATAGATCCAAGTTAAATAGCTTGAAGAGCATTGTTTATCATGTCTTACTCCATTGCTAATCTCACATATATTGCTCATCGAACAGGGAAAAGGCCTCACACATCCATAAATGGTCTACAAACCAAGCTACTGAGTGAGTAATATTTAAGCCCAGCATTCATAAAGTAAGGAACAGAATTACAGAGCTGACAGAGACCATAGAACTGTCAGAGAAATAAATGCCAAACTGTCTCTGCTCAAAAATGAGATAGTGGAAGTTGAGGGAGGTGGAGTAGCCTAGTCACTCAAGCAGTAAGAGTCAGAGTCAGGCCCGTAGCTCTTCAGTCACTGATGGAGGGCTGTCTGGAAATCACGATCTTTGCCACAGACTAAGGAGGACCAGGGAGAGAAAGCAGAAGGGAAAGATGGGAAGTCGGCCCCTCCTAGATGCCAGGAAGGTAAATCCCTCTGGTGCCGGAGCAGTATTTAGGCCACCATGTCACTGGCTGACATGAGAGATGCTCTCTTTCTCTCCTGAGCCTGTGTCAGCATTTCCAGTGTTCTATTGAGCTCCAGTGCCGCCACTTCCTAGAGTAATCTAAGGCAATGCACTGCTGAAACAGAAGTGTGGGTGTTCTGTCTTGGGTACTTTGTACACTGTACTCTCTGAATATCCCCAAACCCCAGAGCTATCCTGCTCTCCAGAGGATCTGAGTATCCACCCCAAGGACTCGGATGTGGTTTTAGGGTACTGTAAATTCCCTGAAGAGGAAAGTGAAGTTTACTTCTCAGCCCACAGCCTGCATTAACTCATCAAGGATGCCCATGATGGAAGCAGCTACGAACCCCTATGAAAAGAGGAGAAAAAAGATGCACTTTTGGAAAGGAAGAAAATCTCAATGAACCTAGAAAAACTCCTGTCCATAATCTAAGAAGCAGCACTGTCATAGAAACATGGACTCAGAGAAAGTAATGCAGTACTAAGATTAGGCCAACGACACATTTCTCTTATGTCTCTCCATCAGTCTGCCCAAATACAGCTACAAACTGACTCTTGCAGGTCCTTTTTAGAAACACAATGCCTTCCTGACTCACCCTCAGAGCTGGAGAGGGGCTTTCAGAATGCCATGTGCAGCAGCAGAGCTGCTACCTACAAAAATCAAGAAGCATGCTTTCCACCAACTTATATTAAAAGAATTCCTGAAAACGAATAAACAAAAACAAAAAAAGGGCCTTTTTTTTTTTGAGACAGTCTCGCTTGGCCTAGGCTAACCTTGACTTTAAGGATTGTCTTAAACCCTGATCATCCTGCTTAAACCATCCAAGAACAAACCTCGTAGGCATGTAGCCACCCTCAGTTTATGCATTGCTGGGAATGGAAACTAAAGTACCTGCACAGGGGCAGGCTCTTGACTGACTGAGCTTAGCCTTGACTTCCACCAATTATCATCTCTCCGGACTGCTGCATGCTATAAAGGGAGTGAAAGGGGCTCAGACCACTGAACTGATGCTCAGATCCAGATGTGTCTAATCCCTGGTTAAAAGATACCATGAGAGTGGTGAAAACCCTAAATGGGATGTGGCCCTGACTGCTGCTCTGCCAAAGATGCTACAGAGGTTTTCTGACAAAGGCTTTGGCTGGGAGAAGCTGCTGGACACAAAGAGGCAGAGGGTAGGTACAACCATCACTACATCAGAGATGCTTTGTGCCCATCCCTAAGGGCCAGTGTAAGCTACTCCCAGCTAGTTACAATGCTAAGGAAAATGCCACAGAATCCTACTTTTCACTCCCACTTTAATATTTGTGGAATTGATCTATTACACAATGTATGGAGACCTTCCATGCACCCAAAAACAAGTATAGTTGGCCAGTTATAATTCTGAACTAAAAGTATGCTTACATTTTCATGTGGTGATATAAATCATAAATTTTTCATGTTGTATGTCTCTGTGTGTTTTATGTCTGACTGTCTGTGTCTGCATATTTGTGTGTAGGTGCATACATGCCATGGTTCATGTGTGGAAATCAGAAGACAACCATGGGTATAGCGGTCCATCTTCCATCATGCTTGGTCTCATTCACCCCAGCTTTACACTAGACTAGCTGGTCTGTTTGGCAGGGGGTGGGCGTCTCCTGTCTCTGTCTCCCATCTGTTAGAACATTGGTCTTATGAAGTGCTATTATGTCAAGATCAAAAGTGCTGGGGGTTCAAACTCTGTACTCTGCCCACCTAGCGATCTCCCCAGCCCACAGAGTAGATTCTAAAGTACTTTTTGAACTAGATCAAAGCCCAAGATTAGCATTTGGCTATGGATGTAGGACCATCAGTCATGTGCTTTTCTGGACTACTTGTCTAGATTCAGGCTCCAGCCTTTAATGGCAGTCTTCCAAGAAGAAAGTGGGAGCATAATGTAACCAGGTAACAAATATTTCTGGTAAGAATATGTTACTAGATTTTGAAATAAATACAGCATGACTAACATGAAAAAATGATGCAGTATAAACCTCTTAAATGTCAAAAGGCAGGATGTAATGACTTGGATATTTTATTTTGACTTTACATGCGGTGTTAAAAACCCAAAGTACATATTATTTACACATCCACAATACAAGTTTACAAGATATCTATACATGTTAAAGTACTCTATAAAACAGTATAGAGCCACTTCACTTTAGGGTTATTTTTTATGCCGTACCATTAAAAAAGATACAATCTGTGTTTACCTTTGCACAAATGGATAAAGCATTTAAAATTAAATTAACAGAATAGAGACTAGAATCCATGTTAGAAAATTCAACATAAATACTGATAGAACTCACAGTACACTCTAAGGCAGCACAATGTTACAAAATGTTATCGGGGTCACACAGAGTTACCACGCTGGGATTAATATTGGTAAGGTAAATGCAAACACGTTGTTGGTGGCAGACTGACTGCGTAGTGCTTATTGTTGGTTGGTTTAATTGATTAAATTGTAATATTTTAGTTGCAAACCTGAAGTAGTTTGAGAACAGGTGTTTCAGCTTTTGAACTTCCAAGAAATCACAGGGAATCATTTTTCTCTAGAAAAGAATGTTCTTGAAGGAAAAGGCCAACTCCAACAGTATTCTACATCCTGTATAAAAATGATCTGGTGTTCTGCAACCATTCCTTCCCGCAAGTAACGCATACCATCGGCACTGTCCCAAGATGAACTTCATCTGACTGAGTCAGGAGCCTTCCTCAGCTGTGGTAATGTTGGGTAAATGACTGGGTGATGTACAGTGGGTTAACCAAAGTCGTCAGTAGGCTGCACATCATCAGCCATTAGTGGGCTCTGCCAAGCTACACAGAAATGACTTTAGACATGGTTTCCGCAGGTGCCACGTCCCCCTGGGAATCCTCATCTGACTTCACATTATCAGAAGAGCAGGGGTGGAATGTTTATCATGGCAAAGGTGGGTACTTCTTCTGATTCGACTGAAACATGTGTGTGTGTGTGTGTGTGTGTGTGTGTGTGTGTGTGTGGTGTAGGGGTTCAACAACAAATTGCTCCAGGTTGCTTTATGACTTTGTAAGAAGTCTTCAGTGGCTGGCTGAAAAACACTTACGACTGGCACATGGGAAATGATGCACTATAGTGGAAACACTCAACATACTGCAGAATTCTACCACTCTCGTGAATAAGGCACAAAATGCACAGATCCGGGTAAACTCACATGTGGTATTTACAGTCGACTGTCATTGCCTGCATGACTCAGGAAAAATCCTCAGAACACAACACAGAGGACAGGATGACACCACTGATGGGTTTTCACACCCTCCCTGATAAGCCAATTTGTAATATCTTTTCTGTCTCTCTCTTTTGTCCTCTGTTTTGGTTTTCTCTTTTTGCCTTGTGGGAGGGAAGAGTTAACAGAGAAAATTTTTGCTGTATGGAAAGTAAAATAAAATAAAATCAATCAAAAGAAACACTTATGAGTGTGTCCAGGGTTAAGTAGCGTGCCTCAGGCTTCGATTCACAGTGGACAGGTAAATGTTACTACTAAATACTGGTAGATACATCAAGAATACCTCTTCATATCTCTAACTTCTTAAGATGACAAATCTGGAATAGAAGTTTTGATGAATAGCAGCACAAAATTATTTAGAACTCTTAAGTGTTCTGACATTGGGTACCACATGGGTTAAGGTAATCATTTGACAGTCAAAGGAGCCTTGACTTTCCTCTTGGAGCTGAACACAATGGACTGGTAGGGGAGGAAGTTAGTTGTCTTCAGTCATGCTTAGTGTAAACAACTCCATAGTACAAAAAAATGCAATGGGCACCTAAATAAATCCTAATGGGTACAGAACTGTCTCACGTGTACACGCGTGTGCGCGCACACACACACACACACACACACACACACACACACACACACACCTACCTCTCTAACACAGTTTTGTTGGTGGCATCAAATTAAAAAAAAAAAAAAAACAGTGCCACACATGAAAAAAATGCTACAATTTGGGTCAAAGATTGAATTTTTTAGCAAACTGCTTGGTAATCTACAAGCTCATTTTGTTTTGAGACATTCCCATCTTTTCATTTTGACATTTGTGCAAGAGGCAAGGTGAATGCATACATATTAAAATGTTCACATTTAATGGGAAGACCACACATAATGGCAGTCTAAATTGAACCCATTTTCAAGTATTTGTTCAGTCTTCTGAGTACTGTGTCAGCTCTATACACTGGTGAAGGGAGCCCCTTCCAGGCTACACATCCCCTTCAGCTTCAAACAAGAGAAATGGAATGACCAGTACCTCCCTCTGTTTCAGGCCAGTACACAGAAGCCTTGCTGCAGTAGCTACATGTGGCAAGTTCTGATGTTACCAAAGTTACAAAGTTTCTTTGGCTACTTGTTTCTCTGAAAATACAAGCAGGTATCTTGTCTTAAGGTACCCTCACAGCGACCTCTCAACACAAGGGACAGGATAAAGCCACACAGGAATAGCACACTTGAGGCCTAGTAAGTGTATTTGTTCAGTGGTCTGACAGGTGTGGTTTGAGGAACAAAGGAAGGCTTTGGTGGCACGTCAGGTTTTAAGGATGGTGTCCTCTTTAGTCCCGTCCTGGGTAGGGTGCCATTACTGGTGTAGCTGCTCTGTCTGGAGAGGGAAGGCTGCAGGTGGACACTCACAGGTGTCCCCTGAATATAGTCCACCTTCGCCCCTGTGGGAGTGGGCATATATCCTCCACGGTTCATGCTCGGCTGTCTGGATAACAAAACACCATTTGGTGAGTTTAAGTTTTTAGGCACAGCTGATATAGAGTGCCTCTGGGAGGAATTTTTATGATAGCCCCTTTGTCTTTCTAGAGATGTCATTGGGACCCCAGGAGTGGTGGGGACATCTACTCTCTTAGTTGGACTATTTCTGGGGAGTGTTGAGGGAGGGGAGTACAAAGATGCCTCCCGGTTAGGGACCTTGGGTGGGACCTCAGACATAGGCCCTACTGGGTCCAGCATGAGGGTCTGATGGGCCATATGGATTTCTCCCATGATGGCTTTGGGATTACTGTTTGGGTCATTTAGATGCTTCAGGAGATCATTAAGGGTGTTTCTGGAATCCACAGAACGTCGGTGTTCCCTCTTACTAGACGACTTTGTAAGAGGGTGGTCGATGTTTTGAAGTTTCTTTTCGGCTTTGTGAGCATTAGAGTTTGAAAATGATGTATTGTAGTCATGGGTGGCATTTGGAAGAACAATGGCACTGGGGATATGCCCGTGACTTAATGGGGAGTGGGGTGGAGGACTAGAAGGAAAAAACTGAGGATGTTCTTTCCTTGAAGCACCATGGCCGTGGGCCTTGTCAGAGTGGCTCTTCATGGCCTGCAGGGTCTTCTGGTGGAGTACAGGTGTGGACTCTGGTGTAGGGAGAGCAGCCAGCTCTGGAGGCTGGCCTCGGTGGTCCATGACCATGGATTTTGTATCCGTGTTGGGTGGCAGCTCCTTCCGACTGGTCAGCAGGTTGCTATAGAGTTTAGGAGAATCGATGTTCTGTTGGTATTCCTTCACGGGACTGTCAAAGAGACCGTTAAGCTTGGCGAAGCTTCCACTGGAGTCTGTGCAGGACTGAGCTGATTCCGCATCCTTATGCATCTTCCTGTTCTTTCGAACAAACATGTCACGGTAGCAATACACAGCCACGCCTGCAATGAATGCACCCAAGACGAAAGCGGCAAACACACAGGTGATGAGGACATTCATGTGGACCATCTGGTTGGAGTCTCCGGACTGGACTTCCCACCGTACACCTGCAACAGACATGTGAAGACTTTGAAGGAGGTGCCTTAAAAAACAGTAAATATAAAAGAGCTTACCCTGAACCAAAACTACCTTCAGATGCTCCATATACCTTGCTTAAAGGATAGAGTAGATCGAAAAATTTCCCATGTATCCACCCCATCCCTGAAATCACAATACAATCTTCAGGAACATATATGCTTCCTGCAAAAGTCAACACGACTCTAATCTTCCAATGGCATACATTTTTCTCTCCATTTCCACAATCTCTTTTAAGCAGTTGGTTAGGGATTTAAGAGTTTCTATCTAAAGAGCAGAGTTAGAATTGTTTCAGAAAACATTTACCTTACAACTCTCACCTAATTCCTAAATCAGGATTAAAGAGGTACAGCTGAGGTTAAGGAAATGTCTGAATTAGCAAAAACACACATCACACTAAAATAGCTATGCTAATACAGTTGTGTTAACTAGAACAAAAGCGTAACTGGTCACAAACTAAAAGCAGGTACTTGGTCGGTGTTAAGTACAGATGTACACTTGTGCCTTTGCCTTCATGTTCTGTTTTGAAATTTCATCTTGGGATGAAATATTCATGAAGTATCTACTATGTAAGGAAACTGGGCAGTGTAAGAAAATACTCTATGTATTAGTTTAAGAATATCATTAAATATCTAGAGGTACTTGAGGAATACTTAAATTAGACCTAGGAAGTGAAGGGTGAGTTAGTTTGTAATTATTGGAAATTTTAATGCAACCACAGACATCTAAGAATCAATTAAAGCCATGTTAGTTTAAAAGGTATCCAAGTATGTTATATGTTACACATGCAGTTATCCCAGAATTAGAGTCAGAGCGACTGGGAGGGTTCTCTGGCATTAAGATAGTACTAAGGCCTTTAAATGTTAGTTGGTTTTAATCAGTTGTTAAAGTTATGGAATTTAATGGCATTGTGAAAGACCAGGAGAGAAAAGAATAAGGAAATGGTATTACTGAAGAAATCAAAACAGAAATGATGATTATAAAATTGTTTGCAATGAAAATATAAAAAAACAAAATCAACGGAAGTAAATCATAAATGACAAGGCAATGCCATAAGAACTGATTGGAAACCTGATACCACAGCTTATAGACAAAGGGATAGACTTTTTTTTTTTCTAGAGTATTAATTCTAATAAGCAAATTGATCAGGCAGCTTTTAAACTTCATCTGTCATGTGCTGAAAGCAGTCATTAGGGACAAGTACTATGTCATGCTTTACTGCTTGTGGCACCTGAGTGACTTGTCACCCCACATATCCATTCCACATTACATTGCAGTTGAAGATAAGTAAGGGGGCAGAGAAAGCCTTCTAAATAGAATTTTGGTAACATGATATTTGTCATCTGTGAGGTTTTGTTTTGTTTCTTTTTTTTTTTTTGATATTGTGAGGGTGACCCTCAAAATTCTCTGATATTCAGCAGGCTCTCAGTGTCTCCAGGCAGAAACCAATGCAGATTAGAAAGTCTGAGTGCCTGTTTCAGGGACTATGTCTTGGGCAGGAATGCACTCAGACTTAACCACAGGATAGCAAAGTCACTGTGGCCAGCAGTGCTAGAGGAAGGCACCTGCTGTTCTGAGTTTCAGCTCTGAGAGCCACGCTAGGAGTCAGGTTTCCATGCAGTTAGTGATGAGGTGCCTGGCCAGACCTTACCCTTTGGGATACCTGATATAGTATCAGTAAAATCAGAAGTGTATGGGTCATCTTGAACTACAAATTTCCGGGAGCTCGTCAGTTTAGGTCTCCAGGTATCAAGCACTTTAGATGTAATTTCTGGGCTACTTGCCACAGTGGCAACAGAAGATGAAGATACCTCCATGTCTGTGGTGGCAAACAGATGTCCATTAACATGGCTAGCGTCAGAAGAGTTTTCTGATTGCTTTGTTGCATTTTAAAGTCAAGTAAATGTTCTGAGAAATCCTATCCTACAATTTTGTAAAAGCACACCTGGGGGAACTAGATCAAATCCTTTTCTTGTAAGAGAAGCATAAAAACGGAAAGTTGACAACAAAGACATATTATGCAGGTTTTAAAAGTAAAGATACTGGAACATTCCTAACTGAAGCTTCCTCATGGAAAGGTAACACGAGTCCCCACTCAGGCTAGCTCTGCTTCTCTCCAGCTCTTGGGGACTCACTGAATTGATTTGTAATGTGTGTTGTACAGAGGACATTTTCGAATGGTTGGGGTCTATACCCTTCCCATCACTGGAGAAGCTACAATGGAATTACATTTAGAAAATACCTGGTCAAGTCCAAGTATACAGTTGATTTTGGACCTGATAAACCAGTTCTGCCTAAGAGGCCACTTTGGTTCTCCACTGCCTCCCGTGCATTTGTAGATGTCTCACTGCACTGAGCCTCCATCCACAGTGCAGCACAAACCTTGCTGTGTTCTCCGAAATGCCTGGGGAGTTTCTTCCAAAGAGTTAGCAGTAACTCATGCACAAGCAATGGCATTTACACACTGAATAAAGATGCTGGGACACATGAGATCGGTCATCCTTTTCTCCCCCCTGAGGGATGAAACTGATGTGAGCCCTGGAGGCAGCACAGACCGAAGAGCAGCTGAACCTTTCTGTATCTATTACCACTTTAACCTAAATTTCCACCAATATGTAAGCATACGCTTTCAGACACAGTATAGACTGATCCAACAGTTACAGATAGAGACTTCTAAACAAACACAGACAGATGTGCGTGGAGACCCCACTGTACATCGTCACACATCAAAATCCAGCTTCATTCAACTGAAGCTTCTTCCACACCACTGAGAACACAACATTCAGAGACTCCTGGGATTGCCACAAAACATTCAAAAAAAAAAAAAAGGTCTTTAAAACTTAGAAATACACATTTTTGAAAAATGTGTATTGTTCATTCCTTGATCTTATGAGAGGTGGGGAGAGAAGGGAGAAATTATGCAATCTGTCATCCACGGATGGCCAGAGGGAGCATTCACAATGCAAAGGGTCGAGAGAGAAGGAAGCTGGGCAGCCGGCGTGCAGCTGAAATGCAGTGTACGTCAACCCATTTGACTTTTCTTAAGGATGTGCCTTGGTCAATGATGAATCTTTAACATGCTACACATGGGAGGGCTGAGTAAGAAAACATCTCTCAGGACCTTCGGAGGGTTATGAGTCAAAGCAGAAAAATGAAGGGCTGCCAAACTGCGCAAAAGGAGGGGGAAAGGGGCTGAAAATGCTGAACTGAAGGAAAGAAAAGGTTGTTAATTCAAAAAAATTAAAAAAAACTAACCAGCTGTTGGACCGCCAAATATTTTGTAATCTGGTGTGGTTGAAGTAGGCAAACTTTCTAAAGGGATTAAAGGAACAAGTAATCAGTGAAAAGTAACTGAAAGAAAGAAAAAAGTTTATGAATTCCAAGTAATAGAAAAAAGTCAAAAGAAAAGACTACAAATTAAAAGTCTACTGGTTAGACTGCCTTTCTCTAGACTTTTTTTTTTTTTTTGTTTAACAAAAGTTCAAATGGTGAAGGAAAAGAAAAATTCAGAACCTTTTCTAATGGACCCCCATGAACAAACAGCTCAGCTTTTGCGAAGTTTAAGTTAAAGGCTAGGTGGTATGTGTCCTGAGTCATTATAAAGGCTGGTTGTAAAATAATGTTTGCGTGCAGACATAGTCAAAAGAAGCAGCCGGAGGGAAGGGACGTGTCTGTCTTACCGTGGCAGTCCCCTAGGTGGGCCGTGTTGCCGTACTCTGTGTCTTGCTCATATCCTCCAGCGCTGTGGTTATGGAAAGCAAAGAAGTCTTCGGTTAACAGCCTTCATAGAGACACAAGGGACAACCAGGACAGAGCCGAGAACACAGACTGGTTAGTGACAGTAAGCAGAGAGAATACACTGACGTTCAACAAACTTGCCATAGGAACTACTTGTTAGTTTATCGAGGATGTCTGAGAGAATGAAATGTTCTCTCTCCAGAATTCATTGCCCTCGGGGGTTGCTGTGTCTAAATCTCGTTTCCCTTTCAAATTTTAGATTTTCATTTTTTAAAACTTTCCCCACACCAGAAAACAGAAATGAAGGAAATGAAAAGCAATGTATCTGGAAACTTCAATTTTTTCGGCTGCTGATAGCCTGTGAGAAGACGGTCTGGTGGTCCAGTGTACTTACAGCATCCCTAGAGTCACTCTCTCACAAACTCCCTGGCTTAACCAGCCACAGTACGGGTCACGTGATGCGATGCAAGACCTGTAGAAAACCAAACAAACTGCGATGTGGATTTTCTTATCAGCACAGGACACGCCACTGGAAGAGCTGAAGTGAATAAAGGAAGGCGAGCTTACTTTTTACAGGATCCATAGCGCTCACAACGACTGAGGGGGATGCGGACAATGCAGCTGGAAAAGGCTACGTATAAAGCGTGGTGATCTTTGTCCAATTGTAAGGAGACGACCTTTCTGTCTTCCTCACTCTCAGCGCTGCACCTATTTTGTGGGTACATTTTGAAGACACATTGATGTCAAACCTGTACCAACTATACATGAGGCAGGACCTGGCAGCCAAGCAAGTCAAGTGCTTAATTCGAGAAATAATAATTATGGGATTCAGCTCCATGCTTTTGCATAGCTGATTACATTTCAAGCTGGACAAAGGTTAAAACTGCTTTCCTGGTTGAATGGAAGAGTGCACTGGACTCTAGACAAGGAGAAGGAGAAGGATGCTATTCTAATGTGTTTAAATCTTCCCATGCCAGAGGCCTCTAGGTGTCTGTCTCTTGTGTGCTATCTCCCCCACTTCCTTTTCATGTGTTTTAATTGCCCAACAACCTCAGTTCCCTGGTTAGAACACAATGCTAAACTCTAAGCATACCCTTTGTGCGCATGCTTACAACCAGCTGTGCCACACGCAGCATCCCGAAATAGATCTGCAAGGTAAGATGGTGCTAAGATGTTCTCATTTTTCACAGGTGAGAAAGAAGGGCTGACTTATTTTTAAACTCATCAGCTGTTCACCCTCTTTGCCCTAGTGGGCTTACAAAAACCAAACAAGCCTGAAAGGTATTTCAACGGAAAGATAAATAACAAAGGAAGGAATGAAACCCAAACGGAACCTGTAAAAATCACCACTAATTTAGAAGTCTGACAGGAAATGGCCAGATGAGATGCACACCAGGCATTTTTGAACAGAGCTGAAGAGATTTCTCCACAGACATACTCACTTGGCTTGGTTGTAAGCTTCAATCTCTTCCAGCAATACACTGTCATTCAAAGAGAAAGGACTGGTCTTTGCCAATACTTTAAGCACTATGCCAGCTTCAGAACCAACAAAGATGACGGTGTAGTTTTGGTAGGGCCCTGCCGAATGGTCCACTTCGATGGCTGTCAACCTGTACCTAGCAGAGGAAAGAGGCAAGTCAGACCGGGAGCCAGTGACAGAACTGTGAGGTAGAAGGAAACTACCTATAGACCCACCTGACCCGTGTCTTTGTGAACCAGGGCTCATCAGCAATGGGTGGAACAGCGGAGTCCATCAGGGGATGGGATTTGATGAAAGACAGCGTCTCATCTGGGAAGTCAATGGATGTTTTGTAAGCTTCTGCGAGGCCATGTTTGGCACAACAGCCAGGCCTGAAATGAAAACAGCGATCTTCAATCATTCTTTCACATAACCATATTGGAGGAGTAAGCATACAATCTAGAGAAAGTAGGTCAAGAGAGTAAGGAGTGACAGCAAAGCCAGAGGAGTAATAGCACCTCCCAGAATTCCATGGGCCCTTCAGGTCCACATGCACAGGTGTAACAATATACCATTTATTGGCTTTGTGGGGGCTGCCTCAGAGGGACTCCGTATGGGGGAGGGAGGATGGATAGATAGATGATAGATGGTTCCAATGTTCACGGTAGTTTTGTTCAATACAAAAACCGTTCAACTCTTTGCTTTACCTTGGCTTTGGTACTTTGTCTTCCGGAACTGCAGTCCAAACAGAGTCTGGGGTTTTCTGTTCTTTGAATCGTCCTTTGAACACTTTCTCAATGTCGTCCATGCTAAAGGCACAAACTGCAGAACCAGGGATGCTGAAAAATGAGAAAATCGTGAGGAAGGGGCTGACAATCGGGTCATGCCAGGTTCCAACAAGGAGAACAAAGAACCTCTGGGACCGGGGTCCTGCTTGTTCCCACCTGTTGAGCTGCGTGGTGAAGACCCCAATCACGGTGGGGATGCCATTGATTTGGATTATGTCTGTGATGGACTGCAGAACATCGAAGTAGAAAAAGGAATCTCCAGGGACTGAGCAGTTAAGCCGAGCCTTCAGGAAGGAAGTCCAGTGTTTCTCCAGGACCCGCTGTGAGCCACCCATGTCGTTTTTACAAATGCGAGCCACTCGGGAATACACAGCCTGCCCAGAGACAAAAGCCAAGCTATGGATGAGGTTATGAGCATGGAAGAGGAACACAGCAAAAATGCTGCTACTTAAGGCAGGGACAAAAACAAAAACAAAAACAAAATAGATGTCTGGCTCAAAGCAAGCTGCCCCCTCACTGGGCTTCTGCACAGTAAGAATGCAATGAAGAGTTATTCCCACACTGCCAAACATCTCCCTGAGACATGAGCTATCTATCTCCCTGGCTGAATGAAAACATGTCTGTACTTCTGTCTCTAAATTTTTCCATTGCTTCACATATTATTAATAAAATGTGCAGTCCTTGAATGTGGCCACAGAAGAGGCTGCTATACTTAAGGAGTCCATGGGCTTTTATTGAAACACTCTAAATTGAACAGGAAGGGTTCCCATTCTCCATTCTGCATTTTGGAAACGGTGACACCATCAATAGCTTTCTAAAGAGTAAAAAGGAAGCCTCCACTTTCTATGGTGATAGAAATAAAAATATGAAAGCTTTTGAAAGCCTGAGGAGGAAGCTGTTCCCATTCTGGTTGGAAACTGTTAGGTATTTCCCATCCATCAGCAGGACCGCCAGCAACCCAGTTCTCTTATTTGGCCTTATCAGCACTGAAACAAGAACTTTGAAACAAGACAGGGAAGCACCCATCACTCTACCAAAGTGGGTGGGATTCCATACAGTTTAAGTTCACAGTGCACATCAAGCTTATATACTTGCCTTGCCTAAGTTATTATGTTCCACAGCGATTTCTCTGAAGAAGAAATAGACATAGTTTCCATATTCTATGGCATGAAGAAAGTGTGGTTCTGAAAGAAAATTAAAAGCAAACCATTCTTAAAGGATGATTCAATTAGTGTAAGACCCCAACTGCCAGGTATGCTGCATAACTACCCTTGGAACAATGATTTCAACTAGTCCCAATATGGGTGTGTTCAAGCTTCAGGGAGCCTGTGTCTTTAAAGTCAGCTAATGGACTGTAAAAGGCCTACAGGGAAGTGATCTACAGCAAAGGTCTATGTTTCAACAGATTTACTCATTAACCTATTTAACTAGGGAAGAAAATCTCATATTGAGATAAAAAAACAATTTTCAGAATCTAAAGAACAAAATGACTTTATAAATATGAGTTTATCAGTCCTCACTACTAATGTTCCAACATAGGTGATGGGTATGGGAGGGTAGTACTGTGTGCACTTGGAGTTAGACAAATTGCCACATTAAGACAAGGTTTCTCCTTAGTTGCTGGGTTTTGCTTTGATCACTTGCATAACTGCCTGGATGAACTTACTCCCTGACATGTCTACTAGGCTGATCATTTCCTGTCAATGTCCCTTCATAAGCAAAACACCACAATTTTACTCTAGATGAACAATTCAAAGTCATGCCCTGAACTTCCTGGCAGCCTCAGCTGTTCCCACTTAACCCTTGTAACCATTCCCAATAACCCAATGACATTGCTCCTCATAGGTACCTTTTATCCATTTAGAATCATATTTTATTGTGCGAAGGGCAGATCCATCACCCATGCTTCTATAAATGACAGCATCACTGGCCAGGAAGTCGGCCACTGTGGCAGAATACAGTTTCCCATCTGAAACCAAAGTTATCATTTGGTAAAATAACCATAATTACCTAAGGTATGTTAGCATGGCTACCTTCTACAAGGTTTCACCTGTCAACAATATCTATGAAATAAATTATACCTGTGCTCACCCTCAACCTCTAACTGGCTGTCCTACGATATTACCTAATTTTACAGATGAGGGATCTAAACACCAAAAATTAAGAAATGTTCAGGGTCAGTGGCTTAGTTAATGACAGCCACGTGTGAGAATACTTACCCCAGTCAATGAGATACTCCTGTTTTTTGTTTATTTTTCACATATTCTTCCTAAAAATTTGTTCATTGGCTTTTGAAGCCTTTGAAATGCTTATGTCAAAGTATCTATCCAAAGTATGAGCTTTTTTTCTTCCTTTAAATGCTTTTGTATCTTCAATGTCATTAATCATTGATATTCAATACACCACAGCTTCTTACCGGCAAAGAGGGCAACATTGGTTTGTCTGGCATCAAATGGGCATCGTGCCAGGCCACTAATTTCTTCCCCATCATACTCTAAGGTATTCAACTGCAAGAGAAAAAAAAAAAAAAGAAAATAGCTGGTGTCACATCTGTTCAATTTACTTGTTTGAAGGCAATATTACTTTATTTATATTGAAATTCTATTTGAGGGATTCTGTTTTGTATTCTCATACAACATGAGAGATAAAACAAATCACTGGGTTACAGCAGAGAAGATTCAACTCTAATAGCAAACCAGTGAAGGAAAATATAGTTGAAGGGAAAACATTCATCATATGAAACATACTTACCCTATAGTATCTACACATTGGGTTGAAGGCATTGGTACCACAGACAAAAACCATCTCATCATTTCTTGGAACAAATACTTTGATGAAGTTGTGGCACTCATCCTAAAGGAAAAACAATTACATGACTGTCAGACATTTCCTACGCCGATGCTATGGTGGCAAGCCTACAAAGAAGGAGCATGGCAGGCACCCATCCTCGGCACTCACTTTATGCTTGCCTTTCATAGCACAATTTTCTCGATCCTGTTGTCTGGACCTCCATGTCAGCTTCTAGATTAACCAAGTAAAATCAAAGTTCAGTTTTAAAAGGATGCACTTTTGGAGCGGGCATTACTGAAGCTCAGAGGGAGTGTGAGCACATTCGCCCTCTGTAGCTAGCGGCTCACCTTGCTTGGTATGACCTCTGTTTTGGGGATTTCATTTAAGTTCACTGTATAGACTTGATCTCTGTTGGAAACAAGGCAGTAAGTCATATCGCGTGAATGCATAAACGCTAAGCTGTTTCTTATGTCATCTTTACAGCTCTGCCATTACTGTTCTTGGGAGATCATCAGGCTTTTCTGTGACTTGAATGAAGTTAACCAAGTACTTTTTCATTAGGGAGATGCTGTAGTGAATTACTATAGTCAAGGAGCAAAGGAGGCACTTCCCTCCAGGCTTGGGGTAAACTTACTGGGCATTAGCACAGGCACATTTCTGATATTTGCTTGAATAATTCTAAGTTAGAAACAAAGAATGATTTTTCCCCTGCTGCTTTAGGACAAAAGAATTTGATGTGTGATTTCTGGATGTGTCACAGAGGCCTGTAACTCTGTATTCTGTACCTGGTACCCAGCATGTTCTTCATGGAGAGTATTTTTGGCTACTTGCAATTCTTGATCACAATCACATATTAGTTTTTCATGAACTAGACACATTAATGCAAGCACCACAAGAGAAAAGAATTTTAATCTAATAAACCAACGAAAGGAAAATTACCTGCCAGCAATATAAAGTGTGTCTCGAATTTTCAACATCAGCTGAAAGTCCAGCCTATGCTGCGATTCGTTGCCTGAAGGGCGTCCTCTAAAAACCGGATATTGCCTTGAATCTGCAAGTAAAAATGGGCTAAACCATCAGTCAGGATTACAGAGTTGAAGAATCAATAGACAGCATTGATTAGCTGTATATAGTACTTGTAGGAAGGGTTTTAACTAAATTCCTTTCTTAAGGTCTTGAATACAAATTAGTAAAAGATGGAGAATGTCAGCAAATGTCTTTTTCTTTTTCTTTTTACTGAAATATGTAATTTCTATGTATGGACTGCTGCAGGATAGCGCCCAACAGAACTGGCTCAGTTTCTGCACAGCCAAGGAAAAGAATGCAAATGATTTAATGTGCAAAACATTGTAAAGACATATTAAAATCGGTCTCTGGTACTGAAAATGAATACACATAGAACAAAACATAAATAAAGCTTCCTTTGTAAATGACAATATGGCTTTGGGTGACTTACAGTGATAATCAACAGTGTTAAGGGGCTCGTCGTCTTCAGGGAAGCTGACTGCCCGTAACCTGGAGACCAGAAGGAACAGCACGCAGAAACAAAGCAGAAAGAACCTCATGGTGGGCCAAGAAGAAATCTGAGGGCCCTCCTCAGAAATCCCACCTAGCTACCTGGAAGACAAAAGCATGGAAAGACCTTTATGCTGCGGTGAAATTGGTTTCTCATTTGTAGATGATTCTATTTTTTGCCCACCTCTTCCCATAGCTCCCTATCTACCAAGACACCTGGCAGTGGTAGACAGGTATCTCCATGAACAGACAGATGGCAGCATCAAGCCCGGCCCAGCTAAAGCACCTGGTAAGCATATTGATGCTTTAGATTCATTTGCCAGAATTTGGGAGGCAACTCTGTGTCATCGAAGCAAAATCACCAGAACCATAAACAGAAGTGTTGGCTGCTGACTTGGCAAGGAAGCAGGCAAAGTAGGGATCAGAATTTTAATTAAACTCCAATCTGCATCCTTCCCCCAGTCCTGAAATACATAGATACAACACATCTCTTCCTCCCTCAAAATGCCCAAAGTGCCTTGAAAAGCCAGAGCTGGAGACCTTGCCCTCAGCCACTGGCTTTGTGTGTAAGTGCTGCCGAGTATCTAGCATCGCACAAGCCACCATTCAAACACTCTCAAACAGGTGTTTGGAAGACCAACTGGCAAAAAGTGATCAGTGACCTTGCATTAAGGTGAAAGGGACTAAAAAGAAATAAGACGATTTCATAAAAAAACAACCTGAAAATCAGGAGGTGAGAGAGTATAACAGCTGGTACCCAGTCTCTAGGGACACTGACATTCTAACATAAAACCATTCAGACATGAACCAATGTCCTAAATACACTGCCCTCTTCGCTTTATTGGGATTTGAGCTGTAGGGGGCCTTAGGGACCATCAGTCCCAACACCCTCCTTTGTTAGATGGGTAAACTAAAGGATGACAAAAAAACAAATTCACTCTGACTTTCATAGTGCCTAGAGGGCAAGGCTGGATTCCAGGGCAGTCAGCTGAGTCCCTGACCAGACTCTCTGCTCCAAACAAGACTGAGGAAATAAATGGGTGTTTTTCCTTCAAACAGCATTACAAAGAGACTTTTGAGAGCAATGGCTATAGTCATCATTTTTATTGAAGTTGTGTTTCCAAGATATTAAATCACACATTAAATATGTACAGTTACTGTAGATCAATATCCCAATAAAACCATGAAAACAGAACAGAGTTAAAAGATCTGTAAATGTTAGCAACTCATTGATAAAATAAATTGGGTTTTCTGGGCCAATGGGAGAAGCACCTCTGTGAGATTCCAAGGGTGTTGCTTTTCAGCAGGGCTGTCTTTTCAAAACTAAAGCTGTCACTTGAAGTGATCAAAAAATACCCTCCCTCTGTATCCCAAAGAAATGTGGGGCACGTTATTAGTAGCCATCTCAAATTCTGCAGCATACAATCAATCAATAAGTTAAAAAATGTGACTATGAATAGCACACTATTTCATTTGAACAAAAGTGTATGCCATATATGAGTGAGTATCTATCTATCTATCTATCTATCTATCTATCTATCTATCTATCTATCTATCTCTATATCTATATCTATATCTATATCTCTATATATGTAAAGCTGTAGTTTTAAAAACAGGCCTACTTCTATACGGAAAAAAGAATGTTTTCATAAAATCTTTGTTAATAGATAATAAATCCAGCAGTAAGTTAACAAATAAAAATGTTTCACAAAAACCATGGGTGAATGGAAATGATGACAGCCCCATTCTGCACTCAAGCCTGTGACTGGATGGTATTCTACTATGGCTGGCTAACTGACCCTGGAATTGGCCTTCGATATCTAGGAGAACTGGCTCCTTATCTATAGAACATGGAAATAGCATCTCTTCTCTTCAGGGTAAAAGTGAATAAATGCCTGTAGAGTCTAAGCATAGTTAGCACTGTGTACAGCCAGCTTGACCTCAACAGCCCAAACAAGGTCTGGTAAAAAGCTGTGCTAAGAACTGATGGCAATTACAAATAAAAGGTCATTTAAAAAATACCAAAGGACTATGTTTAGAATAAAATTTACAGTAGATAGCCACTTATCAAACCTTCTCTTGAGAAATTTTACCAACCCAAACCCCTGACTGCATTGACTTCTAGTATTTCTTCCTCGCATGTTTTCAGTTGTAGCCTTATTCCCTTTGCCACATCTTCTGAAACAGCTTCTCCTGGTCTCGTTCCTTATGGCTTTCTGATTGTCAAGATCCCAGACAATTCTAGCAGCCTAAAAAGACTAATGATGCTCTAAACACCAAGTATGGCTGTGGCTCCAGTCCCAAACTGCATCTTCTGGATGGAAAGTCACTTGGCTTGCTCTTCCCAGAATCACGAAAAAGGATCTCAAACACTCAGTGCTCCTAAAGAAATGTAGAAAGATGTGTCTGGAAACAGAAAGTTCTGTGAGGCTTACTTCCAGCGCTCACACCAGCCAGGCTCACATTTGCCAGGCAGCATCTGTGTTTCCCAGCACAGGAAGCAGCCCTCATCCACAAGAATTTAAGCCAGGTCATGCTGACTCATTGCTAGCCCCTAGCTATGGCTGGGATGTCACATCCTGTAGCACCTCATCTGACACACACCACTTCTCCCTATACCCTGCCCGAGGCCAACCTAATCCTTCAAAACTCAAGCCCACCACCAAGGCTTTCTGCCATGAAGAAAGCTTTATTAACAACAACAACACAATTTAAAATACTGCTGATGCTATACATGGCACTTGTTGTTATACATATGACAAAGGAGGGGGGGCTGTGTGTATGAGGGTGTGCATGCAGAAAGAATCTGGAAGTCCATCTGAAAAATGGACTAGATAGAGGAATGGTCTGCATAGAAATCCTTCAAGTTATTAAGGTTTTTGAGACATGGTGTCACTATGTGTTCTAGGCTAGCTTTGAGCTCACTAGGTTGTCCAGCTGGCTCTGAAGCTCAATCTCCTACCTGCTGGAACTAGAGATGTGTTACCCCATGTCTGCCATGCTGGGCTCAAAGGGATCGGCACACTAGTCAGGTGATAGATAAGTCAGACAAAATGCTGAAAAGGATACAGACTGCAGGCTAGAAAAGGCTAACATTTGCCTGTGACATCTACTCCCTGGATCAGGACTTGACTCAGTTTATCAAACGCAAAACAAGAGCAATTGTCTTTACCATCTCATTGGTCCTTCTGGAGGTTAGATGAAATAACCCACAGATGACATCTAACACTACTGATTGACAGCAAATCCTAGTAGCTTTTTAGTAAATATTGTTTCATCTCATTAGGCAACAAAGATATGAAGGCAATCAATCCCTCTTCTCTCGTTAGGTTGACACATATGCAAAACTCGATGTGTTCACATCACCACTATGATGGGGTTTTCCTGCAGGACAAGGTCCAGTTCCATAAATGCAGATGCCTCCACTGAGGAGGAGGGACTACTTTCCCCAAAGAAAGCTTATGAAGACAGTATCCTTGGTGGGGCTACTCTGTTTAGCTAGAAAGCAGTGATACACAGATACACATATTTTGTCATTATATTGCCATTGAATCAAAAAGAAAAGGGGGGAAAAAAGCTCTTAAAAGGAGCTCCAGGAGTGAACTCCACAGTCACACCTGATTTTACTCTATGGGAGTAAATTTTTACTCTAATTTTTAATTTATGCAAATGTGAATACAACTAGAAAGAAAAACAATATTTTTGGCAGCCTGAAGGGTAACATATCAAAGACTGCAACCAGTAAATATCAAAAAGCCATGATTTATAGCCCGGAAAAGTGGTATCATAGGAAAGGGAAGAAACAGGAGACCAAAGCTTCAATTCATCCAACCTAACCTTCAGCAGGCTGACCTCCAGAATGATGGCTGTAGAGTTCTCCCATTCTATCTGTTCTCAAGAAAAGAGAAGGTGATCGATCCTGTGTTAGTCTCCTCTGAAATTAAACCACTCTATCCTGCAAAGGAACTCCGTAACAGGGAGGGGAACAACAACAACAACAATAAAATAGCTTCCAGAATACCCTGAAACTGACCAGAGTCACCGTCCTCCTCCCAGCCAGAGAAAGCAGAGACCAGCTGCAAGGAAGCCTGAGAGGAGGACAGCAGCACGAAAGACTCAGCCAACAGGAAGAGATTTAGATCCATTGAGGTACCTGGAAAGGACACTCTCCAACCTGTTGAGCTGCCTGTAGGCTGTGGAGTGAGCTCCAGGTTCCAGCTTTTGTAGGCTGTCACCAAAGCTGGGGTGGGCTTTGGTGATGCGGCTGTGTTTGAGTCACTAATGTTCCTGTAAGGAAGCAACCCCTCACCCATATTCCTGTAAGCAACTACAATAAAATTTGTTGGTTCACTAATTTGGACTTTGGTGCTAACCATACTTGGGTCTATTGTGGGTTCCCTATCTGGGGTGAGAAGAGAAGTATATTTCATCTGCCCAGGAAAAACTTTGTCACACAAAGGTAGTATCGCATTACCCTGTTACCCAGAGACAACTGCTACACAACGTTCAATATTAAACACCCATTACTGCATATTCCAATCTTTTGTGGAGACAAAGTAACAAAACTAGGTCTATAGATAAACTATACATTAGAGTTATCAAGAATACATTTTTTTTAAAAAAAACAAAAACAAAAACAAAAAACCATGTCGTCTGAAAGACAGACACAGGTGGATCTCTATGTTGTGAGGCTAGTCGGGTCTACTTAAGAGTCACAAGCTAGTCAGAGCAACAAGTGAGAGCCTGTCTCAAAACAAGCAAGCAAGCAAGCAAACAAACAAACCTGGCAGATTTTATCTAAGGATAAAGATGACAAAGGGAATTCCACCAAAGAACCAGAATCCATAAAGCAGAATTAAGTGGAAATTTTATGGGAAAATCTACATGTAACTTAAAATTCTTAACAATTGTGGTTAAAGTTTGGTTATCAGACAGAAATATGGAGAGCTGAAACACTGAAAAAAAGAAAAGCAGAAAAAAGTAAAAACAAAAAGACATGGTGTTTAGAGAGAAAAATAACAGAAGGAATATTTAACAAAGTAATGTCAGTATTTTTTCCAAAATTGACGAAAGACTGTAAGCTATCCATTAATAAAAACTCT